TAATTCTCTTCTTGTAGTTTGTAATGAGGTCTGAATACAATTCTTTTTTCGTACACACACATCTATTACAATCATTTGTTCACTTTAAAACTTCTTTCTGGATTAATTTTTGGATTTAATAATGTATTATAATATGCAGGATTGTAAAGCGGTAACACAAGCTTTATTCACTGTAATATTCACCACGTACGCGATGAGTGTGGAGCCCTTCATTCAGGAAGAAGCCGATAGGCTCTTGGAGATACTCGTCAACATAAATTCACTAAAGAACATTGACGATCTCTTCTGCAATCACATGAAACCGTTGATAACATCAATTCACAATGATTGTGTCTCGTGGACGGTTTACAGTGCGGAATCGCAAATTTTCTGCGCTTGTTTGAGCCGCAACGAAATCGCCATATCGCATAATATGGACCTTGTGTTACCCATTTTTAAAAAAACTATGAGTAAGGATGCCGATCCTGAGTTGAAGCTGCGGCATTTTATTCTACTTTCAGAGTACTTCCTGAACAATCAGAATTTATATTATTGTATCGAGGAACCGCATAGATTTGTGAGCACAATTATCGAGGAGTTGATCATGCCTGGACTAATTTGGACCGCCGGTAGAGCAGCTGAAGCCATTCGCACGGCCGCCGTTTGCTGCCTCTGCGCTATTCTACAAAACACAATAGTTAATCCCGACAAAAAAGACGAGATTAACAAAATGCAGTTGTCTACGAATGAGGAAAACAAGGATTCTAGAATATCTATAGCGGAGCAATTCCCGTCCATCTTCGACAAGATCGTGCCTGTTTTAATTAGTCTGGTGGACGATAAAGCAAAGAAGACTCGACTGTATTCCATGCGCGCCATTTGTCTGTTAGTAAAAATTGGACAGAGATTGTCCTGTCTAGATGACGGACATGTACATCGCACGTATCCAGTGATACTGAAGAGACTCGATGATGGCTGCGACGATGTTCGCTACGCTGCAGTGGAAATGCTTGTGGACGTATGGAGCGCTGTTTCTAAAGATTACGACATTGTCTTCAGTAAGAGTCACATTGATGCTCTGTACACGACAATGATTATTCACTTGGACGATCCGGAGTCTCGCTTCCAAGAGATAATGTTAGGTAACCATCAACAGTTTTGTTCTTTCTGTTAGAAATGTGCAAATTAAACTTTTTTACGCTAAATCGATTCAAATCTCATTTTTTTTTAAATCTAAATCAAATCTAATTTTTACCTAAATTAAATCGTTGCAGTATAACTTTTAATTAACAACATAATTATTATCAGATGAAATTATAAGACATAGATAATAAAAAGATTAATAAGAAGAATGTAACAAAAAATATGAATTATAAAAGATGGAAGATTGTTTCTCTTATTTTAATGTTTGCACTGAAAATTAATTTTTAAAAATGAAAAGAGAAACAATCCAATGATCTTGATCGATTCAGAGCAGTAATATTCAAGAGGTTTTAGTCATTGGTGAGACACCTTGGATAATACTAATAATGGCGGTATTGTAACTTTCAAGCCTTATAACTTGAAAAATACTTAATGAAAATGAACTTTATTGTAGCATTTTGAAAAGCTTTTGACATTGACTATTTGATTCTGGAATCAGAAAGAAGAATAAGTTGTCCAATTAAAAAAAATCAATGTGACCTTGATGTGATTTTGGGGACGCCACCCAAGATCAAATTGATAAGATAATTAAATAGATTTTTTTAAAACCTACAACTTTTGTCTATAAAACATTTTTCTCAAAAATATTTTCCGAGATATTCAGTCGGTTCAAAACTTGGTGGGTACTGCATATACAGGGTATACGGAAAACGGACTTCTTAATATCTTAAAAAAATTAACGTTTCTGAAAGAAATATTTCATACAAAAGTTATAGAGTTTTAAGGCGTATTACATAGTATATTAATAATAGAGTAGCCTTGGATACTATTATTACATAAAAAATCACTTTAAAACTTTTAAATGTAAACCCTAATCTTTTTTATTGCGTATTCTTACAGTTGTTTTCGACAAAGGTCAAATTATGAGATTTGAAAGTTACGATATTAGCATTATCTAGGGCATATCGTATAGATTGCCTGATTGGATTTATATGGCATGTGTGTGTACATATATGTATGTATGTATCTTTCTCTCCTCCCCTTTTCTGCGTGCGTGCGTGTATAAGATTATCAATATATGTAATTTATATTCGAATATTTTATTGTCAGATTGAAAATTTTTAAATAGTTCGTACATCTCTATTCTGTCACGTTTTTCAAGATAATACGAGTAATTATATTTCATAAGTTTCAATTTAATGTAATGCAACTCTTAATATATTTCAATACATACATTTTTTACAGTTTTAATACTGTTTTTCCAGACGCATTAAAGCGTGTTGCACACATCTATCCTGAGCTACTGCATCAAAAATTGTATAGCTGTCGATCAAATTTCAGGAACAAAGCAGGAGTAGACGCACTTTTGGAATATTGCCAAAGTATATTTAAACAAGATTAAATCTTTTTTTCAAATAGACATTTTTACAATCCGATAGATATGTGTTTTAACAAATATAAGTTATATGATCTTTCTAGATATAAGTTTTTCTATCATACATGTTGAATCAATTAAGAACATTGAACTGCTTATAAACATAACGCCGTAAAGTATTCAGTCTGATACAGCAAGTTATAGATTAAATTTTTTTTTCTCCCAAGTAGAATTATCTTTAATTTATACAAATTATATACACAATTGAAATTAAGCTTTTATTCATACAAGTTCGTATGCTTTAACTCAAGAATATCTTTGTACAATATTTGGTATCATAAAATATTATTGATTGTTTAGAGGTATATTAAGGATTTATGCAATTGTACTATGTCAAACGAAAAGGTTCTTTGAAATATATTGCAAAATTTATAAAAAAGTATTGTTCAGCTGTGGACACTTATTACTCAATATGATGCCAATTCTTTTTTTTTTTAAATTAATTAAACTGTTGCTCATTAAAAAAAATTATTAAACTGTTGTATAATTAAATTGAGGGTCATAAAATTATATTGTGTATACAGGATGTCCCAATAATTATTAGCACCTGAAATATTTTAAAATCTATAATAAATCCCTTCATGTCATGCAATTTTGGTTATACAAATTTTTCTCTGGACCTCTGGTTCTTGAAAAGAATTGTATGCGAAATTCTAAGAAAATACGTAACGTATATGTAACGTATACTGTAGTATTTCTTTAGACTTGTATAAGTTTCTTGTCAAGAATAAGGGCTCTGGATCTTAGACTGGGTTTTCACCTAAAGGTGCTTTTTCATGCTGATGCTCGATGCTCATTTTCAGCGCCAAAATAAGTGATCAAAATTGATGCTTGATATTCGTCGATTTCTATGACTTATTTATTGACGCCGAAAACAAGCGTGAGTATGAAAAAACACCTACACCATAAAATTACATCTTGAAAGCATCAATTTTGATTACGTGATCTATTTTGAAGTTGAAAACAGAGAGAAACTTGAGAGACGACATGACCTGCCAAAACTGTGTCTGTAACTGCAAAATGCCACCACGCATTACTGCCCTCTGACAAAGTGAGTCATGTCCTTTCTCAGATTTCACTCTGGGCTGCGTTCAGATTTCCCACCCGGGTGCACCCAGAAAGCGTTCAAATTCCTTTATTTTTGGGTATGGCCAATAAACTCTCCTTAAGGAAATATTGAAGCAAATTATCGGGACCACGAAGAATAGAAACCAGGTAAACGTATATGAAAAATTAAGGAAATACTATACTACAGTACATTCCCTAGCTTTTGTAGTAGCGCAATACTTTTCTTTGAGGGTCAATTGTGGATTTTGAAATGAGGTGAAAATTACAAAAATGAGCAAAAGTTACTAGGTATTGATCAATTAAATTATAAATATTTTAGTGAATATTTTAGTGAATTTGCATACTTTTGTATTTTTTTACTTTATTTCAAAATCTATAATCGACCTTCTAAGCCGAAATGCCGACAATTTTCTTATTGGCTATTTCGACCGCCATTTTTTATCTAGTTGTCTGTAGTTCAATAAGTGCTTAGTAATATTGCTATATGGTTAGTGCGTTCGAGGAGACGCTATTAGCGCTTCTGTTATGATTCTTGCACACTGGACACGGAAACATTTACCGCGCGTCAAAATTTAACACAGTAGCCAATGAGCTTACAGTTCCTAACACGCTCATTGGTTACTACATCACATTTTGCCGCGCGACAAGCATTTCCGCGTCCAGTGTGCAGGAACCATTATAGTTGAACGACAGGGGAATATTCAATTGTAGTTGGTTCTTAGGGGCTCTACATAATAAAAGGAACAGGGGCCTTATTCTTGAAAAGTATCGCATACGAAAATTAAAGAAATGCTATAGTATATGTAACGCATACTATAACGTTTTCCTATAGTTTTTCGTATGCGATTATTTTCGAGAATAGGGACCCAGGGAACAGAGAACAGAGAATAAGAATTTCAACCTATCAGAAATCATGTATTGTGGAATATACAGTTTTTGGTAGATTGAAATTCTTATTCTCTATTCTCTATTTCCTGCTCCTTTTATTGTGTGGAGCCCCTTATATTTTGCAGCAGCGGTTTAAACCTTCGATGGAAACTAGGCCAGTGTTACTAATCCGTACAAATTAAAATCGTGTTGCTTAGGGGTTTTTACCAACATTACATTACCAACATTATTAGGGGGTTACTACCAACATTTTTCAGTGTAGTTTTTCGGAAAAATGTCATGTAACCCACGCATGATGTGCATGATACATCATTTTATCTTTATAGTTCACCGAATGTAAAAGAAAAATAAACTAATACATCATGCACCTAATGCGTAAAACGGAATGTATTATAGCTCAGAGCTTTACGTAATGCAGCCTGATGCGGATGCGGCCACAAGAAGTACCCGCCCTTCCGTTTCCGTGCGCACTGCGCCGACTGCGCGCCGCGACGCCATGTTGTCAGTATCTTCCGATTGGCGAAGCGTGAGACGGAAGAGTAGACAAACAGGAATTAACAATCGGCCGCCGATAATCTGATACGGATTCTCGTAAACGCCACAGTCGGTCGTATTATCATAACTTTCACAAGTCGCTTGTCAAGCCGAGCCGAGAGAGTCCGAGAGAGTCGACGGTAAGTGCTGAGCGGTGAGCGCTGTGCCGGGTACTCGAAGTGTACCGGACGAAGCGAGTAATCATTGTCACCTCGCGTTCTCCTCTCCAGGCATTAAGGCGAATTTATCACGGAACTCTTCGTCTCCCGGAGAAATTCTTTACGTTGAAGTTCTGGTCTTTGAAGCCGCGCCGTATTACGTCTTTTCGTTCTCTTCTGAAAATGAAAGAAAAAAAAAACATAGAATCGAATAATTTGAAGCTGATTTCGGATTTTAATAGTAGAAGTTGCGCGAAAATGCGCTTTACTTGCAAGAGCGAATGACAAGAGTTGCGATTAGCACCCTTTTCTGCGCAGAGATCGATCGCGGAAATTACATTTCCAGTTCTGCAAAAACAGATGAGACGAGAATCGTAAAGAGAATAATGAGAGCGAGTGAGTATGTGAGTGAGTGAGTGAATGAGTGTGAGAGAGAGAGAGAGAGAGGGAGAGAGGGAGAGAGGGAGAGAGAGGGAAACAGACCGAAAGTAGCTGAGAGGACCTCCAGCTGATCATCTTGCTCCATTTCCCCATGGATTTACTTGCCCTGTTGTATTTGGCTGCATGTTTCAAACAAAGCGAATTCAATGTTCTTTGCTTTATTGTTCTCTTTTCTTTCGACGTGAAATCATATCTATTTCATTTTAAGTATAGAAGGTATATATTGGATTAAGGAAAAAGTCCTTTTACATGTTGTTAAAAAGATTTTCTCCATCAATATCTTCGTTAAAAATGATCAAAATTTAAATTTAGAAAAATAATTTTATAGCTTGAAATCTCTATTTTCGAATGGTTACTATACTTTTTAAATTCTCTTTTAAACCTCTTAACCGAGATTCAACTTATTCCTTATCTTTTTTGCAATTCTAGAATGATTAATTAATTCTAAAATGATTAGTTAAATACACATACCATGTATATGTTTACATGTATCGCTGAAATCAAGATAATTTAATAGAAATTCACTAATTATAGTAGTATTTTATTAATACATATAATGTACCATTCAACAAAATTAAAGACTTATTCCATTCTGTAAAAATAGACACATTTTAAGATAGAAGAACTTCGTCATCGTATCGAAATATAATAAAAATCGAATTTAAATAAGCATTTTACAGCTTGAAATCTGTATTTTAGAAAACGATCTTATTGATGTTTTATGGAGTTACACGAACATAAATGAAGATGTATCAAATCTCAAAATTTTTTTACGTAATTTGCATAGTTCCACGGCGCGAATTAAAAATTGTACACAAATACGGTTTACAGCATTCGAAAAAGTGAATCTTTATCTTTAAATTGCTTTTTTATTAAATGATGATTTTTTTTTATCGAGTTATTTAATATTGAAGCAAAAAAGGTTTTTAAGACATAGTATAGACAGTTAAGGTGTTAAGGTATTAAGGTGTTAAGGTGTCACGAAGATACTAAGTAGTTATATCTATCATATTTTTCCTAATGAAACTAACTCGAACTTGAGTTTTCGAAAGTATCCACATTTGAGCGAAGCGGAATATGCGAAATGTTGATATTGGTAGAAATTCGTTTCGCCAGTTTCTTATTTCTGCAGATCCTCATTTTCGCGTCTCATGAGAATCCTCTCTTACGCTTTTCAGCCCTGCTATTCGTGATTGTTGCGACGCGTCACTGCCACTATTTTTCAAATTTTCGAAGTTTTCCTCAGCAGATTCTACAGTGTCCCAAATTTTTTAACACACCGCTTATAGGAAAGGGTAGAGCGAATTAAACTGAGTTGAAAAGTATCATTTTACATTTTAATTCTTAACGACATATTAATGTTTAAAGATTATCAAATAAAATTCGATGATCTTTAGAAATTAATATCTCGTTAATTATTGCGACAATTGCGACAATTGTGCTTACGTTTATCTGCTCCCTGGTGAAAATAAAAATTGGAACATAAGTCAAATGTAAGGGGAGAGTAACACAAGTAAAATGAAATTTTTAGGAGGCGAAAATTGAAACAGCGAAATGTAAAAGAGATGTTTACGCTTTTTCTACGTTTCATTGTTTAATTTTCACATTCTAGAAGTTTCGTTTATACTGTTACTCTCCCTTTATATTCGACTGTACTATCAAATACACGCCTATTAGGAGTGAGCGCTGGCTGCACAGAGATTTATTTACAAATGACAATAGTTACAAGTTATGCATGGCAGCAAAAGAAAACAACTTTCCGCGCGCCTAGTGACTATGATCGATAGGTATACATTTAGATATGTGTGAATCTGGCGTCTCACTCGATGGAAACATTAAATGTTGAGAGTTCTGAGTTTATTTTCAATAGTTTTATATAGGTTAAACAAATAGTTTCGACCATTAAAGCCAAGAAACCGAAAATGCAAAATGAGACGCCAGGTACACACCGCGTCAACAACTTTGTCTAACGAAGAACACAATTTCCAGACACAGTTTCTTGTAGAATTTGAAAAAATACATAATTTTAAAGAGAGTTCTGACGATTAATATCGTTATTTGGATTTTTAAATAATTTTTTTCTTTTCAAAAATGGTCTTTATAGGAACAAAGATGGGACGCTGTCCGATTTTAAATAATTCTGATAGTCTATGATAATTCTCGTGTAGTTCTGAATGTATTCTAATGCTTTTCGAAGAGTTCTGATCATTTTAACTATTTATTAATTTAAAAAATTTTTTTATTTTCATTTTTTTATTATTTTTGCACTGAAAACTCATTTTTATGTAAAAATGAGTGTAAAAATGAAAATAAGAGAAACAATCTCCAATGACCTTGATCTTAACAAATGTTATCCAGAACATAATCCTGAACAATAAGAAGTTTTAGCCGTCGGACACCTTGCGTAATACTAATGCCGGTATTGTAACTTTCAAGCCTTATAACTCGAAATGTACTTCATGGAAAAATATTTTATTATAATGTTTTGAAAAGCTCTCGAAATTAGCTACAAGAATATTTAATGAAAAATGGGGGGTTCCATTAAAAAATTCAACGTGACCTTGCCCTGACCTTGACGATGCCACCCAAGGTCAAACCAATGGCACCATTTTATATCCCCCTCGAAGTTCTAAAACTTTTGTTTGAAATATTTTTCCCTAAATTACACTGTTCAAGAGATATTTGAGTTGTGTGTGTGTGATCGATTAAAATTAATTAAACTAAATCTGATGCTTATTCTTTGATGGTTATTCTTTGTTTTTCAATAGTTTAAACAGAAGTTATGTTTAAACGTTTATGAAATAAAATAAATTGAAAATATTAAAAAATTCATATTTAGGAAATTAATGAAGATAAAAATCTAAAAAAATAACTGAATACATATTTTAATATCAGGAATATATTAAAAAGTCAATAAAAAAAAATCGGCAGAGTTGATGACGAAGGCCATCGATTTGGTGGAATGCATCATATGTATATATATATATATAGTTTGTTTAAAGTATAAATATTAACACAAATTTATACAAATAAGATACATCCTTAGATACATCCTTAACTATTGCGAAAATTGCAAACTGATAGAGAACTAATTGACTCAATTTAGTCCACTCTACTTGCCTACAAGCAGTGTCAAAAAGTTTAGACCTTGTATATCGCACAATATCATGCATCTTTTGATCCTTTTTTTTTGTTTCTTTTCTCTTTCTCGCAAGTCTTTTTATATATATATATTTATATATATATGTATATCTTTCCTGGTTTGAACATAGCGATGTCTGACTCTACGGGTGATCATGTAGATGCGTTGGATGAGGAGCCGGACGTGGAATCCAGTTATAAGCCTCCACCGGAAAAATCCATCGAGCAGATCTTGGAAACGGATAAGGAAGATGAGAGTTTGCGCAAGTATAAAGAGACGCTTCTGGGAGAAGCAAAATCCGGCGGCATTGTAATAGGTGGGCATTTACTTTTATAAATATATGTATAATCATTATCTATATATTATAGTAGATCAGTTGTGTTCGAAATTGTTTATAAGTTATCTCGCTATTTGTTCTGGCCTTTTTATCTCCGCGTTTAATACTTATATTGGATTCTATAGTATTTTCTTTCTTGTTTTAAATCATAACTGGAAAATATCTGCACATTTTGACCTTTTTGTTTGTTTTCACTTCTTACGCACACAATCTAAATGCGCCGATCAGCATTTAAAGTGCTTCTACATAATTTGTAAATAGGAAAACGTAGTTCGCAAACGTAAACGCAGAATGAAGATTGTTTGTTTTTTCATTGCATGCAATTGGTTCTCATCTGTGTCTTGCATGTGATGGATCATCGTTCTGCATCAACATTTGTGAACTATGTTTTGCGATTTGCGAGATATGTAGAGGTATTCTTAGACTACACGCGGGATAGTAAGGGATAGCAACCAAGCTGAAAATCAATTTAAATGTGCAGATATTTCTTCGCTCTATTTTAAATAATAATTTAGGTTATACATGTTTTAAAACAGGCTTGTCCGAAATTTTGAGCTGAAACGCTTCCACTTCTCCACCGTCTCAGTAGAACGACATGAGGCACAAATAACAAAAAATAGAGCCGCGTTCCGCCTGAATTCAATTCGCAAACGTTGTTGCAATATGCAATGTTGCAACATGTTGCAGCAATATTGTTACAAACTTTTGTGCTGTAAAGAACATTCATATTGTATATAATAAGAAACGAAAATGCTTGAAGATGATCGCGGATGGCATCATTATGTGTCACAAGCAGAGAATGAGGCAAAATAAAAAGCGGCTATTATAATTGCAAATTGAGAGATGGGCTCCTTTACTCTACAACGCTTAGACAGAATTCAGGCATCTATCCTTTGTTATTTACTCTCTGTTTCGCTCTACAAGAGGTGGAAGTATTGTATTTCGGTTCACAAATCGAGTTTTGAACAGGCCTGTTCTAAAAGATATTTAAAGAATTATATGATATGCATATTTATAATTTTAATAACGAATTAAAAATTGTCATATTTATACTTTTTTGTATGAAAATGTTGTATGACGTCATTATTAGCCATCAGTAGTTAACCACCTCACCTTATTTGTTGCATCATATTTGCTTATTTATGTGTTTAATCTCAAAACTGTGTTATCCACTATTATTCCATAATATGGAATATGTGTATTATACACAAGATGTCAAAAAAAAAAAACTCAAAGAGACATTATAAAATTCTGTTTTTTTTTTCACAAATATGGAAATACAAAAGATTTTCGTACCGGTATCAAAAAAACCGGAGCGAGAAAAATGAATTTTTAGTGCAAAAATAAAAATAAGAGGAACAACTTCCAATGATCTTGATCTTATCAAATGTTATCTAGAGCATGACCCTAACCTACATTAGTAAGACCCTAAATATTATAATAGTAGACCCTAAACAACATTAGTGTTTCATCAAGACAAGATTTCTTGTCTTAAATTTCCAATTTCTTGTTTTGGTCTTGTCTTGATTTAAGACAAAAGCAAAACAAAATTTCTTGAATTTCTTGATTTTGAAACACTAAACAACATTCAAAAGATTTTAACCGTTGATCGGACGCTTTGGGTAATGCTAACGTCGACACTAACTTCCAAGCCTTATAACTATTTTGTTATAGTATCTTGAAGAGTTTTCAAGATAAATTACAAAAATATGCAATGAAATGAATTCCCATTTTTTAAAAAGTTGATGTGATCTTGATCTGATCTTGGTGACGCCAATTTTGACCCAAATCCTAATGTTCATTTAAGAAAGGGAGTTTTTCCAAAAATTAGGAAGCATTAACTATGAGTTTAAAAAAAAAACTGTGAAATTGAAGCCACAGTTGAAGTCAAAAGATCAAGAAAGTTATTACATTCGTAATATTTTGGAAGCTTGGATTTTCGAAAGTGGAAGATTTCAATTGCCAATGAGACCTGCAATATTCAAGAATAGGAAAGTGAAAAAATAGATAAAATTAATTAATGTCATAAACGGATTTAAACTGATAAAATTGATGTGCGAAATCAATTGACTGCAGTCCAATCATGCGCAGAACTTGTTCAACTTGGAAACTTGGAAAATCATTGTTAATATTGTTAGTTTATAAAATTCGACACCAAAAACAATATTCCTGTACGATATACTCGAGGTGCGAGGAATTTTTATCCTCCGAAAAAATTAATGATGAAACAGAAGAAAAGTTACTTAAAAGCAACATTAGAAAGACATTTGTTCTTAATAAAAAATAAACCAAAAATGTATATCGGACTTCCAGCTAATGGATTTATAAATCTGTTAAGTAAAAAACAAACAGCGTAATATTTGTTCAACTTTATCGAAAATAAAATTAAATGACATGTTTTCTCGTTTAGATAGTTTATTTTAGATTCGATTCAACTATATGACCAATGTCATATTTCGCCAAACTTTACCGGTATTAATCGTCCATTTAAAAAAATTATTAATCTGGCCTATTGCTATATCAATACGAAGGAATTTGTCAAGGGAATTTCTTGGCAAATGTACAATCGCGATAATAGATTGCTTTGAAATTGAAATTCAAAAATCAATCAATTCAATATATAAAATTATTGCTTGGTTGGAATACAAAAAATATTTAATATTTAATATTTTTACAACACTTGATTATATTTTTTGTATTCCAACCAAATAATAATTTCATATATCGGATTAATTGGTTTTTGAATTTCAAGTTCAGAACTTATAAATTTTTATATCGGAAAATTTTGGTGGAAGAATAAGCGATGCTGTAATAGTGGAAATAAGCTAATATTTACAGGAATTTCTGAATGGCTGTGCTGTTATGACAGATCGAGGATTCAAGTACATCGATCATATGCAAAAGAAAAAATGTGTTAATATGACCATCAAGTGTATTGAGCGATAAAAAACTTTCAAAAGATGAAGTATTGAAAAGAATCGCAAGTCTTCACCCATATTAATAGAAAGGATTATCAGAAAAATAAGAGAATTCAGTGTACTCAAACTTCATTCGGGTATTCACCTTGTTGAACATTATCGATGATGTGATAACAGTTACCGCAACGTTGATAAATCTTCAAGAACTTATTATTAAACAGTAATTAACTAAATCAATCAAAATTATTCTAAGTAAATAATAAATAGTAAAGAACAATAATTATATTAACAGTATCATTTATTATAATTATTTTCCTTTACAAAACCTATAAAAATGTGTGCGTGTGCGTGCGTGCGTGCGTATGCGCACACATGTTATTTGTACAATGTTTTTATATAACTAAGGCTAATTTTATTAATGTTATTTTACAATGTGCTTTTTGTTTTCTGTTTCTTGCTGTTTGTCTCTTGTCTTATTGATCAAAAAGGTAAGAGACAAACAGCAAGAAACAGGAAACAGCATATTGTAGAATTAGCCTTACACTTGGATCCCTTTACAACATATAGTAGGCGTGACGTGACAACATTCTAAATAATTATATAATTCTCGTAGATCCTAATGATCCTAGAAAGGTAATAGTGAAGAAATTGGCATTATGCGTCGCTGATCGACCGGATATGGAATTAGACTTGACTGGTGATTTATCGCAGCTAAAAAAACAGACATTTGTCATCAAGGAGGGCGTAAGCTATAGAATCAGGATCGATTTTATTGTGCAACGCGAGATCGTGCATGGATTAAAATATGTTCAAAAGACTTATCGCCTTGGTGTACCTGGTATGATATTTATTTTTTGTATTTGAATATAATGATGTCATTCTTAATAATTACAATAAATTCGATTGCTTGTGTGTTAATGCTTCTAATGCAAATTAGGAGTTACGGGTAAATGAAATATGCAATAATTAGAATATGTAGCGTATGATAGAATTGTACATTTTTTACCTTTGTTACAGTTGACAAAATGACACATATGGTAGGCTCGTATCCTCCTAAAACAGAGCTTCAGTCTTACACTACTCCAGCTGAAGATGCGCCAGCTGGTGTTGTAGCGCGAGGCTCATACAGCGTTAGTTCTCTCTTCACAGACGACGACAAGCATGAACATCTCAAATGGGAATGGGCGTTTGAAATCAAGAAGGATTGGAAAGAATAAATCGTCTTTTGAAAGGACGATAATTTACAATTCCTTACTACTTTACGAGTAATAATTAAGGACGTAAAATGCCAAAATGCAATTGGATGGATGAATTTTAATATTCTTTAGTTGTGGTTGATGTTGCCATAAGAATTATTTACATATATTTTAAGTAATAAAAAAGGAAGAGAATATAATCGGTATTTATTAAGGTTTTCGTAATTGATTAGATATTTGATTATAGAAATAGATTCGAGAATTATGAAGAGTACACACACACACACATACACACACACACACACACATATACACACATATTTCACCCTAGTACAAGCAGACACCAGTAGTAGTGATTTAAGCGATACATGATGTGACAAATCGATATATTTCCGGACAAATGAGTATTAGATGCATAGCGAGTGAAAAAACAGTAAAACACAAACGTATAGTATAATCAACAGTTGATTTATACATATATATTATATATACACAAATAAGGTGTCTAATAATTATAAAACTTTCGTATAGCGGCAGAATGGACTAAACCGAGTAAAAAAATCCCTGTATGTATATATATATATATATATATATATACATATATATATATATATATATAAGGGTCAACTGAAAAATTTTGAGCCTCAATGAAGATGGCATTACTCATCAAAATCATTCTGGTACTACGATCGTACATATTTTGAAAGACCTGTGAAAATTGTACCCATTTTAGACGCTCAATTGATGCTTGACAGTCATTTGTACCAGTCGATGTCAATATTTTTATAAAAATGAAAAAAATCGAATATCGTGTCATGATTAAATTCTTGCATTTGAAAGGCAATACGCCTGCGCAAATTAAAGTCGAGTTGGACCTTGTTTACGGGAACTCTGCTCAGTTCAGGATCATTTATCACCATGAACAGATTGGCAGCTTAATTTAAATATGGTATCATACCAGCTTGGCTAATTAGCGTTTGAAACGGCCAACAACTGTGATTATCACCGATAATATCGAAAAAATTCTTCAAATCGTAGTGAACGATTGTCAAATCAAAGTTAGAGAGATAACAGAGGCTATGGGCATATCGAAAGAACGTGCTTGTCATATATTGACTGAAGAATTAGGCATGCATAAACTAACCGCGCATTGGGTGCCGCGCTTGCTTGTGGACCAAAAACCTATTCGAATGAACATTTCCAAGGCCTTGGAGCGGTTTAAGCGAAACGAGTCTGATTTTTTGCATCGATTAATAACTGTTGATAAAACTTGAATCGGCTACTTCGTTCTTGAGACAAAGGAAAAGTCAAAATAGTGGACTGGGAAGGATGCACCTGTTCGCCAAAAGACGAAGGTTTTATTGGCCAGGAAGGTGATGGCAATTATTTTTTGGGATAGTCATGAAATTGTGTTCATCGACTATTTTGAAAAAAATAAAACAATAACGGGGGTGTATTACGCATCATTAATTAATTGACGAGCTGAAGGTAGAAATTGCGAAAAAAACAGTCGCATTTAGAGAAGAAGAAAGTGCTGTTTCATCAAGATGATGCACCGTTCTCACATTTCGACGATTATCATGGCAAAAATTCATGAATTTTGGTCGAATTGATTGACCACTCACCAAATATTCATCAAGTTTGGCCCCCAGCGACTTTTTCATCGAATGAGCAGGTCATTGTATCCGTAGAAGACTAGTATTTTGCAAAGCAAGACACCAGCTATTATTTGAATGAGTTAAAGGGACGGCAGCACACACACACATCGCTGGTGGAAAAGTGTATTAACTTAAAAGGAGACTATGTTGAAAAATAAAACTGAATTTGATCGAAAAAATATTTGTTTTTATATTAGGCTCAAAACTTTTCAGACGATCCTCGTATATACACATATGTATAAAGTAAAAAGTGCTCTAAAATTTATATATTTGTACAACATGGTTTTCGGAGAGCAATCAAATTCTGCTCAATATTTTGTATGATTATCATACATTTGACACTATACAATGTATAAAATTATATGCTAAATATTTATTATTAAAAAAAATTGGTAAAAGATGGTTGCAAGGAAAAGCCAGGGTAACTCTTCTATTTTTTACTTCTATAAAATATCTGCAAAAAATATTAAATCTCTGAAAAGTAGATTTTGACTACATGTATTATATACCGACATAGGCCGGTATTTATCTACTAATAAGTCTATTCTTATTTTAAGACCGTCTTAAGTAATGTTTTCCCTGATGGAAATAAATCGCTAAAATTGACTATAAAATCATTGAAATGAGAAATGAAAATGATTGAAGTATTATTGAAAATATTTCAATAATACTTTTAATTATGAAATACTATGAATTTTAAAGATAATGAATGAAAATTAATAAGAGTGAAAAATATTGCAAGAATGAAACTAATGTAAACATGTTTAATATTCATCCTGATTTATTCAAAGAAATTGAACACTGAATTAAATTGAAATTGTACTAAAATTAATGAAGTGTAATGAAAACTAATGCAAATATATTTAATATTTATACAAATTTATTAAGAGAAATTGAATACTGAATTATATTGAAATATTGTGAATCCTAAAAATAATTTTTAAAAATGAATAATAAAAAGCAATGCAAAACATATTATATTAGGTGTTGGAATTAATTCGTAGCGTTTTTTAATGAAAGAATGTTATTTATTTCACATGAGCATTAAAAAATACATTAATGAAAGTACTTCCCATCACTTGTAAAACGAATTAATTCCAACACCTAATATAATATTTTTACAATTTATTGTACACTGAAATATGTTGAAATACTATACATTTTTAAAAACATTAATGAAAATTTTAAAAGATAATGATATTGAAACAAAATATACATTATTTTTATAGATTTATTAATGATAATTACCAAAAAAAGAAGTAGAATTAAAATGTTGGAATTAATAATTGAAAAAAATACTCAGTTTGTGTGCATTGAAATGAAAAGCATTGAAATTTGTTTTTCTAAGAGTGCCGCTAGATGGTGTCGGTTCTCGTATGTAAAATTTAATCGTGCTCTCTCTTTTCTATATGACTAAGTTTATATGGGTTACGTTCCAAAACTCGACTTTGTTGATCCGAATATCATTCTATTGTTGTTTATCGAATATTAAACAAAGATAAAAGATACTCTGAGTTGGCAGAGTTTCAAGTTTTGGAACACATCGAAGCTTAGATCATCTGCAGACATGTCACATTTGTACATGATTTTCACATTTATTTTAGTGTATTATATTTTTATACTAACGTAAGGCTAAATAATGAACTCGTAATACAATATTAAATTTTAATGAAATCGTAATAAATTTTTAATGAATTGTAATGAAATCTGAATGAAATAATATTGAAAGTAGGTCAATTAATACAGATTTCAATATAAAGTTCAGTAATATTTCATCATTATTCATTACAATTTCAGTAATATTTTATCATTATTCATTATAATTACAATTAATATTTTTCATCACTATTCATTACAATTTAAAAAAAAATTTCCATCAGGATTAAGATGCTATTACTTAAGATGGTTTTAAAATAACAATTATGAATACCGGCTTTGTGGCCGGTATTTGTAGTTCGTTCTTATTTTAAGACCGTCTTAAGATGTTAATACAGCTCTCTGATTTGTTCATAACATCTTAAGACTGTAATCAAGACAGTCTTAAATATAAGTATCGAGAAATAAATAATATGAATACCAATTTGTAATTGGTTCATGATATCCTAAGACTGTATTTAAGACAGTCATAAATATAAGAACTATGAATACCGGCCACAATGTATTTTTTAATTAATGTATTTTTTAATTACAGTAATTGCTGACCTTGCAAGCAAAGTAGACTGTAGCTAGATTTCTCACGATGAAACACGTGACACATCTCTTCCAGTTTTCACAGACACTTTTTATTATTGAATAATACAAATCCTATATATGTGTTTGTGCATTGGAAGTTCCGACAACCATGTTCTTCGTGGAAAGTATATCGTAGCAAATGTATTAATCGCAAAGTAATTGGAATTGTTGAGAAGCCTTAATCATTCAGAAACGCGCACATCCCATCGACAGCTGTTCCATGTAAAAATAAAAATGTGCATAACGTATGGCCATACAATGTAGAGTCATTTTTTCATATAACAATCGGTCGTGATAGCCGTGCATTTATATTATAATGAGCGATGAAAAGTGACGTGAAAAGAATATATTAGAATAGACGTTTTATACCTTTGTTACGTGCTTCACGAGAGAAATAAGTAGATTGAGAATAGGTACTTGAGTAGTGAAGAAAGTGAAGAAAGTGACGCAAAGTATTTTTGCCTACATAAAATTGAGCCGTCTCGCATTTTTTCATTCAGAAAATATCATATTTTTCCATTTGACGCCTATTATGCCTTCTCGACAGTGTCTCTTATACCAAGTAGCAGTGCCCAGGTTTCCTCCATGGCTTTCTTTTTTTTTAATACATTTGTTCGTACGTACTTTATAAGCAAAAAGAGAAAGAAAGAGAGTATGCATCTTGAAGTTATCTGGGATTAATTAAACTTGAGATTTTTTGTGTGTACTTCATCGTGCTTTGTATACCAAGTGTATTCATTTGTTATTGTATGGCGTAATATACAATATCTTTATTGTACGGCGAACGGTTACTGTATAGCAAATATACAATACTTATATACAATACTTTTCTTCGTCTCTTTTTAACTGTCAACGTTATATTCTGTAGTTTTATATACAGCTTTCTTTTTATCATTAGATGTAGGTTACTTTTTTTCTTATGAATTATATATTTGAGTTTTTAAAAAATTGAATGAATCGTAAAATTTGCGATACAAATTGCGCGATTTGTTCGAAAGTAATTGTAAGATAATTCCCCCAAAAGTAAATTGTGAAAATATTGCACAATAAATAACATAAACTGATGACAATTTTACAATAATTGTGCTAAGATGATTCTCTAACGCAACAATTTCAGAAAAAATATTTCTAAATGACATTTGTCAAAAAATTAGACAAATCCAATTTGAGATATAAATATTTTTTACTTTTTTTCAAGAATATAATAAATGAGATGCCGGCAGCATAACAAAGATATAAATTAGAACACGTTATCCAATTATTTTCAAATGCTTGACGAACATTTTCAAAAGATCGGTTCATATGTGTCCTAAAAGCCGTTTAAGTTTTTTAGCTTTAAAAATTTTAATTTAGTCATGTATAATATTTCATATTGCAATTTTTCTACATTATGATT